TCTCTGCCTTGTGCCTCAGTCAAAACACATAGCTTCCCAGCTGCATGCACCAGAGCTGCACAGGGAACACCAGCCACCATTTGACCCTTTGAAACACCGCACAGAATCTGTGTCCTGGTGTGCGTCTGGGTCAGCTCTGTGGCATGGGCCAACCAGTACCAGCAGGCAGGCTGCAGCTGGCACAGGCTGAAACAGGACTCCATGACAGCCTGAACATGGATGGTGAGCAGCAAGGGACCAGGACCCATGTGGACACAGCACTAGTGTGGATCTAGCTGTCAAATTCAGCAGCTACCTACTCCACTATCTGGGCAAATGAGGGAAAAAGTAAAATCAGAGATACTTGTTTCAAACAACTGCGTGAGCTTCAGTGCTATACTTGGCCTGGAAAATATTTTTGTGCTGTCAGAAGTATCTGACACATCTCAGACAGCTGGACTGTACAGAGCAGACGCCACGGACAAATCTGTGCAACCTGCCATCTTCTGAGATCAGGCTCTGGAGGAGTACAAAAAATAACATGGACAGCAAAGCCATGTAATATTCCATAGGCCAACATTTTTTTTGTTAAACAACATCCGAATGTAGTGAACAAAAGAGATCAACCAATTTAATTTTAATGGCTCAGTAACTGCTTAGCTCATATAATTACATATTTTTAAAGTTTCTCCTAGAATGAGTTGACTTTTCATCTTTTATATATCACAACAATTCATTTCAAATGTACGAAAAACTTTATTGGTCCATTAAACATTAAATCTCTAACAATACATTCACTCAGTATACAAAAGGAAGTGTCCATAAAAAACCATTAACATGCTTTAGAAAGGCAAAGCTGTTGACTATTTTACAATACGATCTTAAAATTCTGAAATTTTTACCAATTCTTAAAAGTCAAAGTGTTACAGTTACTACAGATCACAACACTCACAAAAAATGTTAAATAAACTAGCAATCCTCCACTTCACTGGGCTACAGTTTAATAAAATAAAACCACACATACACACCAAAAAGTCCCCTTGAGATATTAAGAACCTTGAAAAAGACTAAATAAAAACCCCTCACCATTAAGAAAAAGTGTTTACATTTTGACTACTTTGCATCCAGTTTTTGAACATGGCATATACGAGACCAAACACCACTCATTGGCGGTAAACAAAAAGCAGACAGTGAACCCATATGTTCCTAGTATTTTCTCAGCTTGTACATGACAAGTTGAACAAATTTCTCTGAGAGTTAGTTCTCCTCATTTTAACTTTGAGTGGATATCCAACGACACCTGGACATCTATTGGTAAGAGGAAAAATAAAGTATGAATAATGAGACATTATCTCCCCATAGCTTTCCAAAGCTA